AGCCCCGTTGGCACGACCATTGTTGCCGGACTGATCTACTGGTTGCCTAAATTTTCAGTTGCTGACCGGGTTCAATATCACACGGACGAGTGCGGGAAAGGGGGTATGAGAATACCCTTAATCCGCTGAGGGTTGGCAGAATTCTGACACAGCCTGGAGGCTGTGTTCGCAGCTCTGCCCACCCTCAAATTTTGGATTTCAGCCACTCACGCGGTCTCGGAAAAGAATCTTTGGGGAGCGCTGCAGACTCACTGTGACTCTTAAATGCCCCACAACCCCACTCTAATTATGTCGATCCCTTTTTTGTAGGGCGCCTCTCCAAAATCTGAGGTTCTCCTCTGAAAGCTCCCCCAACGACAGCCTACAAAAAACACCCCCCCAAAAAATCGACAGCCCCATGTAGGCCCTTGCAGTACCCTTTGTATGGAACCTGCCTGGTCCCTTTTACTCGTCAGGACGCGTCGACGGCACAGAGTTGCTGCAGCGTCTTGACCTCCCTGACGAAGGCGGAAGCGAAGCCCAAAGCCCAAAGCCCATCGTTTTTCACTCCCTGAGTTCCTGGACTTTAAACTGTTTTGGCTTGGACCATTTTAGTGGTACATAAACAAAGTGTGGGTTATTTTTCAGCAACTCGAATCGAGCGGTTTCCGGCGGACTCAAGCAAATGGGGGTGTCGGAATTCCTAAACCAAGCAAAGGGTATCTTCAAAAACACACCCATATCTCCGCAGCCATTTTGGCTCAAGGCTTTGGCTCAGGCGTTGACGGCGCGACCTTGCTTGCAACACACATGCGGGTTGCCATCCCGGTTGTGCCACCAATTGAGCCGTGACAAACGTACACCTTTTGCGTTTGCCTTGCGTTGTTCATCCTTGTTGGCTTGTTTGCAAATTCAACATGTTGCCTGAACACATCGTGCACGGGTGTCTCGACAGCAGACATTGCACCAAGCATTCATGGCCTCCTGTGCCGGGGGCCATGGAGTCGGGCGTTCCGCGCGATGAGCTCAGATTTGCCAACCACGTGTGTGACTGAAGCTGCAGATCGTGTTCTCGGGTCATTGCAAGTCGATCCACTTTCACCTGGATGAAACCCTTCATTGCAGTGTGCGATGCAATCACAAGCCGGCACATGTTTGTGATTCTGCAGGCCAATTCAGTGAAAAGTCCGCCGCCGGACTCAAAGGGACACCCGATTTGCAAAGTGCTGAGTCCTGAAATCCTGGTTGTTTCCCAGACACCGTTCACTTCAGAGGTGAGCAGGGAGCTGGTCATGCAACTTCCGGCCTTGTTCTGTGAGGCCTTTGGCCAAAAGCATCAGCAGATGTTTCATGGTGATCTCAAGTAGAGCGATGCCGGGCAGTGAGCCACATTCACAAGCCGACCGTCTCAGAGTGCTTGATACTTTCCACACAAGCCCGGAAGGTTCACAACCGCCAGGTGTTCTCACCTTCATTCACCAAGGCGATGGCGACGCAAATCTGTTTCACACTATGCATTGGCATTAACCTAGCATCAAGTGAGGCGTTCGAGCTGTTTGCAGGTGTCTTCGCTGGAAGGCCTGTGATAAACTGAATACCTGCAACATTATCAATGTGGCACATGCTGTTGACGCAGATGCAATGTGCTGTGTAAATTACAGTCGCAACTTCGCCAACGATGGGCCGAACCAAGTGTGCAAAAAATACCAAATGCAGCATGTGCTCACAAGGTTGGTACTGCCCGAACAAATGTCCGAACTGCAGAAAGGGCACTCTCGCGCAATTTGGCTTTGTTCACCACTCTGCCCAAGTTGGAGTTCCAGTGGAAGCCGATCAGCACTGGGGAATTTGGACGATTGGCCTTATCTCATCGACAGTGCGAAGCTCTGCCAACCACCTTTGCTGTGCCTTGAAAACGTACATGCCACCCGCACTTCGAAATCATTTTGCAGCGACTCCGGACAGCCGGCTACGAACTCACTAGCCAGATTGAATCCGAGCTGCATCATTTGCAACCCACACATCGACACAGGTGACTTGCAATCTGTATGAGGCGTGGTCTGCCCAATTTTTGGTCGTTTGCCTGATTGCCCATTCCCAATGATCAATCGGTCCACTTTGCGTGGAAGAGATGCTTTCCCGCTGACGTTACCAGCTTTGCATGAACAAGAACTGCTGCTGACCCAACAGCAATTTGAGATGTATGCAATTCCAAGCTACTTCCGTCCAGCATGCATTAGAGAGAGCCAAATGTCATCCGGCACCAACACTTGAACTCGCGTTGGCCATAGGCCTTTTCACCGAGATTAAGATTCCAAGCAAAACCTGACCTGCATTTGCAATGATTGGCAGCAGCATTTCACCGCTACGGGCGCTACAGGTCCTGTTACCAATCGTGTGCGTGTTGACACTTGCAAGGACGGGGAGAGCCCCACACCCGCAGGACCTGCTTATTGAATTGGCGAATGGCAGCCAAATCTCTGTAGCCGAGTTGGCTTGCAGATAAAGCCTGAGCATCGTGATTGCGCGGCCAATTCCATCTCTACCATGATGGAAGCAGTACTGACAGGGTTTGCATCCTCAATAATCAACCCATCAGGTTGTCAGCCATCTCACCGACCATGCCATGGACTCAAAGAATGATCCAGGCAAACCTAGTAGGGCAACACTGTGCAACAGTGACAATCTCAGTTTCCGCCACTGTTGGCGAACTGAGTCGGATGCAAGAAGCAGCTCTTGCCGATGCAAATCGTGCCAGATTCAGCCTACAGTGTGCTCCTTGTACCAGTGGACACCAGTGTGGAGGACTGTCCCATCTTGTATCACATTCAGAGCGCGCTAGCAAAGATTGCAAGCTGTGCGTCATCAACCAAACCAAGCACGGTTGACAGTCCCGCTCTATGTCTACCACCACCTACTGCATCAAAACACACGTTCCAGTTGACATTGCCGCGTCTGCCATGTTAATTCAGTGCGCCGCAAGTCTCTTGCCTGATTATCCGAACTAACACCTGAAGGGACGCGTGTGTGACACCTCACAGACGATTCGGTTGGGTACCATCCCGCGTTAGAGCAGTGTGTGAAGTTTCCACACACTGCACAAGCGCACAAGTTCTAAAAATTAAGGCGCACCAGGAGGTTGCTCAGTGCAACACCTTGAAGGAAAAGTACACGCAGTTGGCAACGCACTAGCAGGTCAAGCTGCCAACTTTGCAAGGGAACATGGATTGCACGATTCTCAAGACTCGATCGTGCAGGTTTCTTCCACACTTCGCACGGCACGCTCGAATGCTCGGAAGGCCATGGCCTTTGTTGCCAATGCAACACCTGTGTACGCGCAGGCTTGTGAACACAAACGAAGAGAATCCGAGCCTCCTTCCAAGAGATGGCGAGCCGGCCAGGTGACAACAGTTGCCGAGGAACAAGCCGCTTTGTTGACCTGCAGTATCGACGCAATCAGGATGCATTTGCCGACCTTGCCTGGGACGGGCATCAATATGAATTTTGGGGCGTAAGGCGCTTAACCGCACTTCGCATGTGGCTGCAACGCCTGCAATGGCCATCAACACGCTGCGAACCAGATATTGCTTGGCTTGAACCCTGGGTGGACTTCAGAATATCGACTCAAATGAACGTGCCTTGGAACCAAGGGGTTTCGTCGTCACACCCAACATGCTCTGAGCGCACGCTCCCAGGTCATGAATTTGTGCCCAATCCACGGCTTCAGCAAACCTTGAAAAACTTTGCTTTGTCAATAAAGTGCCTGGCGCAACACCTTGCACAGCCAGTGTGGCCGGAGACTTGCAATGAGTGTAAAAGGGCTAGTTCTCTTACTAGAGCTCATGCTTTTGAGCCGGCAGCAGGCTTGACTCGTACACCGTGTCTAGTCTCGCCGAATGAGTACAGGACAGGGATTGAAATGTTGCGCACGATAGCAGAAACTCGGCCAGGAGTGGCAGTCCTTTTCTTCGTACCCGCAGATTCCACCTCTGGAACCTGTGATACAGGTGTGTACAGAGATCACCGATGAGCATTTATACTCGGCCACGCGCAAACGCGCATTTGTAGCTCGCAGCCGACGTCAGGCTAGGTAGGTCTGTTGGTGTTGTGTGTTCTTTTGGTTGCGTGTTGCTGCTTGGTTCGGTGTGACCTCGGCCTGGCCCCTTTTTGATGTGTACATATGCCTTGGCAACGACCAAGTGCTTGCCTCTGCAGGATCTTGGGCGCACATCACCAGAGGGTGTGCGTCCACATGACAAGAACCTCATGAAAAGAACCCAAAGTCGGTCAAGATCAATTTGGAAGGAACATGGTGGAGCTTTAAAATCTCAACCACGGAAATTAGGGGACAAGGCCAAAGCCTAAAGTTTTCCCATGTCCTCTTAGTTTCTCACCCGTCTGCCATGGATGAGCAGGGTTCCCCGGACCTGATGATTTGTGGGAAGCCGGTCTTCACGGTTCCCTTATGCAAAGCCAACAACCTTGGTTCACTGCAAAACCCTGAAAACAGTAGGAAACCAGCCATTGTCCTTTTAGTTGTCAGGGTGGGAAACCCCCTCCTACTCGACGGGGTTGTACGGGGAGACCCTATAAATCTTTATACCAATCCGGTCACATTAGAATGAGCTCACCGAATTTTGAGGGTGAAAGGAGACACCAATAATGAAGGCTCCCTTTATGAATTATCCTGCTTTGCCCAGAAGCGATGGTCAACTCGTGAGCTAAAGAAGTAGCCAAAAGGGGATGGGTCATTGTATCCAATTAAGATTTTCTCTCGCTGAGACTGTGTAGCCCAATGGATACTTGCCAAGTAGCCATATGGTATCATATCCATATGTCAAGCCCACTCCAGTTGAATCATGATGGGAAATGGGATCACGCAGGAAGCCAAACCAGTTGGTTGCTCAGGCTTCAGAAGTTGTTTAAACAACATTAAACAACCAGCTTGAAGGGAGACCGCAACAAGGTTGCTTCAAACACAGAGTTGCTTGTGTTGTATGTCAGGGCAATTTTATGCTACAATGACCGCGCCGTGAAACTCCAGTTGCAGCCATCGCTTGTCGGTAGAATAGGGGGTTGGCTATTGCCAGGTTTTCATTTGCCCATTCTCTGGCAAGCGTCTGAACTCGCTGGTGCGATAGGGAATGTGGGAAAATGAGCCCAGGCTTTGGTCCCCTGAAAGGAAACCCACCGGTTGGATGTGTTCCCATTCTCATTGCTCTCCCTAACATAGCACCTGTGGCAGGGTACCTGGAAAACCATTTTCCTCTTGTAGGGACCCTCTGCCAGGTGCCATGTCAGTCGGAGTGAGGGTACCTGCATCTCTCGCACCCATCGCATGGCAAACCTCAGGTGGGGCGCGTGAACTGCCAGCAACGGCTTCGACAAGAACCGGTGCTGGAGGCGCTCACGGCAGCAGCACGCCTGGGAGCAGGCGAGCGCCAAACCAAACGCCGTCGCCTCCTTCGCGCTGTTTTAGGGGACCTCTGAATTCGATGGGCCCTCACCAGCACCAAATCCCAAGTGTTCAACAAAAGCCGACGCGTTTTTTTTGTTTGTTTTTTTTTTTTTTTTTCTGGGGGTGGGGTTCAGACAACTTCCCTGTTGCCCCCTGTTGCCCCTGTTGTTGTTTGAGAGGGGGGGGTCCTGTTGTTCAGAGCACCCTGGATCGGATCGGAGAGGTGGGCGGCTGGAAGAGGAGGCCTGGCGCACCATGGCGCACATACTCGGCCTCCCGGAGGCGCCAAGAACCGGACGTCGAAGCGGTCGGCGGTCCCCAACGGGGGCGCTTCGGTTTTCCAGGTGAGGTGCTTCAAGGTTTTTTTGGGGGGCGGTTGTTTTTTGTTTTCTCTGCTTTTTTGGGCTGTTGGGTTATGCTCGCTTTCAGTGGGCTGCAAAAAGTCAATCAGTGTTTTGCTACCATACCAAGTTGTAAAGGTTGATTTTGTTTGATGTTCTGGAAATAGTGTTTCAAGGAAATGGATCACTGGAAAGAGTATTTGTTCTATTGGACTTAAAGAAATGGAGGCGTTGTCTTTCTGTTGGGCACCCTTCTGACATTGAACCTGACAGATGTTTTTTTTTTTTTAAATACGGGACCCTTTGGTGAGGCTACCCGTTTTTTGAGGTCATGGAGAAACAACAGGAACATCACCATGCTTGGGTTGTTCAAAGGCAATGATTTGGATTGGCCGACCCTCTTTTTTGAACAGCCCAGAAAAATGGGGGACCCCTTGGTTTTCTTTTGATATCAATCAACTGCAAACGGTTGTTCCCTACTTGCCGGGCCTTTGTTTCCAACGCCGTCCTTTTGCCGGTCATCTTTTGGCCACTTGCTTTTCTCCACCCCTGTTTCTAGGTGAATGTATGATACATCCAATGCCAAGTGTCAGGAATAGAAGCCCGACCTTTCAGTTGCCTGTTGCCTACGTCAGGATAGGCAGGCCGGGTCGAGTTTCCAAAAGCTAGCATAGCGGCAGGAGTTCTTATAAATATCCTTTGTTGGAGAGATCAACCTTTGTTCATCTAGTTGAAGGGTTGAAACCAAAAGGTTGTAAAATGCCCAAGGAGTATCCCAGAACCGCCCCAAATGCAGGATTGGTTTTCTGGGCTTGTGGCTGTCGCTGTTGGGGAGAAACATTTGTGGCTGTAGGCCTCGAACTTTGGAAGCACGCTTTTTCGGTTTTGCGATGCCTTCCGTTGAATGATGCGGGTTGGGGGTTCCTTTTATTTGTCCAGTTTTGTGGCCGCTTGTGTTCGCCTTGCACGACTGCCATTAAAACCCTGCCCCAAACCTCTAGCTGAAGCAGGCGGATGAGAGCTTCATCCGCGCCGCAGCGTAGTGGAAAACAGAACACAGCCACGTTGGCTGCCAGTTGCCCAACCCGCCCTTCCCACGTTCTCCCGATAAAGCCTTATTTGGGGCGGCTTAGATCGCTTTGGAAGGTTACCAGGTTTTTGGCTGAAGAACCATGGTCAATCTCCAAAGCAGCCAGGGGACGGAGTTGATATGTTCCAGACTCGGTCTCCGTCGAGTGTTGTGCGGAAAGACGGATCCCTTGGTGCGCGCTGTCGGCGCAGGCCGCCAAGCGTCTCAGCCATTTGCGCGAGCACGAGTACGGCATGCACGGCGTGCCCAACGGCATAAAGGGTAGCTGACATTGGGGATGGGTGGTTTGTCTAGGGTCCACAGCCATAAGGCCATCGTTTTGTATTATCGGCATGGCATCCCTCGGATCCAACGGATTTCTGGGACCGGGGGTAACGGAAGCAGGGCATGACCTGCAGACGCTGGTGGTTCTTCCCGGCCCTTAAGCAAGTTCAAAGCATTCCCAAATCAACAGCAGGTCATGCGGGGGTGGCCGCACCATGTTTTAAGGCAGATCTGGGGCTAGTCTTGCAAGTCCGCATCGTGTTGGCAAAGACAGGCTTGGCTCCTTTTAGGAAGTCGTCTGGTGGCTCCTTCAAAGGGGCAGGGGTCCGTCACAGCCTTAATCTTGGCAACCGCCCATGTAGTTTCTCCCACGACCAATGTGTGTCTTCGCTTCACAGCAACTACAACCTGACAACCCAAATTGCTGGGACAATGCGTTTGACTTTCCTACAATTTGGGTGTGGCTCAACATTTAAGAGCCAGGAGAAACCGTAGGTTTCCTTCTACTTTTCCATTTACCAGGGTTCCACTTTCCACTTTGGGCCCCTATCTATGAGCCACACCCATTGTCATTTCAGAGTTCCTGGGGCCGTTGCGCATTTGCTTCCAGTCTCCCCTTTTTTGATTAAGTGACCATCAAACCGTTTCCTTGAGGGGTGTGTTGTGTGTCTGTGTGTGTGTGTCTGTGTGTCTGTGTGTGTCTGCGTGTGTCTCTGTGTGTGTGTGTGTGTGTCTCTGTGTGTCTCTGTGTGTGTGTGTGTGTCTCTGTGTGTCTCTGTGTGTCTCTGTGTGTGTGTGTGTTTGTTTGTGTGTGTCTCTGTGTGTGTGTGTGTGTGTCTGTGTGTGTCTGTGTGCGTGTGTGTGTGTGTGTCTGTGTGCGTCTGCGTGTGTCTGTGTGTGTGTGTGTGTGTCTGTGTGTGTGTGTATCTGTGTGTGTGTGTCTGTGTGATGTCTGTGTGTGTCTGTGTGTGTGTGTGTGTGTGTGTGTCTGTGCGTGTTTGTCTGTGTGTGTGTCTGTGTGTGTGTCTGTGTGTGTGTCTGTGTCTGTGTGTGTCTGTGTGTGTCTGTGTCTGTGTGTGTGTTTGTTTGTGTTTGTGTTTGTGTGTTTGTGTGTTTGTGTGTTTGTGTTTGTGTGTTTGTGTTTGTGTGTTTGTGTTTGTGTTTGTGTGTTTGTGTTTGTGTTTGTGTTTGTGTTTGTGTTTGTGTTTGTGTATGTGTTTGTGTTTGTGTTTGTGTGTGTGTGTGTGTGTCTGTGTCTGTGTCTGTGTCTGTGTCTGTGTCTGTGTCTGTGTGTCTGTGTGTCTGTGTGTCTGTGTGTTTGTGTGTTTGTGTGTTTGTGTGTTTGTGTGTTTGTGTGTTTGTGTGTTTGTGTGTTTGTGTGTTTGTGTGTTTGTGTGTTTGTGTAATTTGTGTGTTTGTGTGTTTGTGTATGTGTGTGTTTTGAGGGTACCTTTTGTTGAGATTGTTTAAAGGGAAACCAAAGGCAATCATCCATTGGGGGGGTTCATCATTTAAAGAGAAACCCTTAAGTGGTTTTCCTCGCGGAAGCTCGTGAAATGACCTCAGTTTGTGTGGTGCCTCTAAAACGGGTGGTGTAAGCACGTTGGAGACATATCCAAATACCCTCTGCAGTGTCCAGGAAACCTCACTGGAGATGCAGCTGGAACTATCGACCAGATGGTTATTTCCCTGGGTTTCATTTCAGGGTGTGCCCTATTCTACTTTTTTGCCGTACACCAGACTGGAATTCCCTAGTGTAGTCAGGTGAGTTGCATGTTACTCTCCTGCATATCAAGCGGGCATCAACAAAAACGCATTGTTTGCAATATGTGTTGTTTGTATTTTGCTGGCATTCACAGGGAGACTTGGAATTTTCGCTTTGTTTGTAATTGAGTTTGCTTACAACCTCCAAAACCATTGGTACGGCACTCTCCTTTTGGTGGGTTCCGCGCTACTTTTTGAAGGGAAGTGGGCCGGGGGGCTTGCGCAGCAAGGCTTTCGGCCATCAAAAATTTGGCCACTACGGAGGACGCTGAACGGATGGGGGACGCAAGGTGTTGAACATTGGAACAACAGCCACACAAACCCATGTGGATGTGTCTCACAATACCGGGATGTCCTGTTTGCTTCCCCAACGCCAGCCCCAGTCAAGGGACACTTGTCCATGAAATTCAATAGGAAACCCGGAACCCGGGGTTGGTGGACATGACTCCCCCAATGGTAGCAACGGGAAAATATTCACTGTCATGCGGGGAAGGACTTGTTTGGGGCATGACTTACATCTGTGCCACGACTCATAGGTTTCCGAGGTGCTCGCCAGACTCGAATTTACTCGAGGGCGCCATATGTTTGTTTTTTGGCGTCTGCGAGCTGTGGACCTTCAGAAGACTACCGTAGAGCGTACCGCTTTAGGTTTTTGTCATCTTTGTAGTTGTCCTTTCCCTTTGAGCCAGCAAACAAGTTGCCTTGGCTGGATCAGTGGCACCTGTAAGAGGGTACCTGAAAGATGAGTTTCCTCTTGGATGGACCATTTCCCCGTCAGGTGCCATAGCAACATGGCAGACTCACTTCCTGAGTTCGACTTTATCAACTTTTCGGGTCTGGACCATGTCTAGCGGAAAACAACCAGTTTGTTTGGGCCTTTTTTTCCCATTGGGCCTTTTTCGGGCCTTTTTTTTTGTGGCCTTTTTTGGAGGGCCATCCACTCAAGAAGAGGGGTTTGAAGCCACAGGACCTCGAGGAAATCCGAGAGCTGCCGGCGGTTCTCGAGGAGCTCCTGCAGCTCCCGCGCCTTTCTTTGAGAGTGTGGCGCCTTTTGTTCCGGGGCGTTTTCTTCTTTTTTCCCGGGTTTTGGGGGGGGGGGGGGTGGTGCCTGGAGGTTTTTTTTTCCCCAGGGTTGGGGGAGGGGTTGTTTTCTTTTTTTCCGGGTTTTGGGGTGGGTGAGGTGTCTGGAGTTTTTTTTTCCCCCAGGGGGAGAGGTTGTTTTTCTTTTCTTTCCGGGTCTGAGGTGTCTGGAGGTTGTTTTTTCCCCCAGGGTTGGGGGAGGGGTTGTGGTTCTTTTTCTTTTTTTCCGGGTTTTGGGGGGGGAGTGGGTGTCTGGAGGTGTTTTTTCCCCCAGGGTTGGGGGAGGGGTTGTTTTTCTTCTTTTTTCCCGGGTTTTGGGGGGGGGGGGGGTGGTGCCTGGAGGTTTTTTTTTCCCCAGGGTTGGGGGAGGGGTTGTTTTCTTTTTTTCCGGGTTTTGGGGTGGGTGAGGTGTCTGGAGTTTTTTTTTCCCCCAGGGGGAGAGGTTGTTTTTCTTTTCTTTCCGGGTCTGAGGTGTCTGGAGGTTGTTTTTTCCCCCAGGGTTGGGGGAGGGGTTGTGGTTCTTTTTCTTTTTTTCCGGGTTTTGGGGGGGGAGTGGGTGTCTGGAGGTGTTTTTTCCCCCAGGGTTGGGGGAGGGGTTGTTTTTCTTCTTTTTTCCCGGGTTTTGGGGGGGGGGGGTTGAGGTGTCTGGAGGTTGTTTTTTCCCCCAGGGTTGGGGGAGGGGTTGTGTTTTTTCCTTTTTTTTTGCGGGTTTTGGGGGGGGGGGGTGAGGTGTCTGGAGGATGTTTTCCCCCAGGGTTGGGGGAGGGGTTGCTTGAGGTGTTTGGAGCTTTTTTGTTCTTCTTTTTCTTCCAGGGAAGGGTTGTTGTTATATTGTTTTTTTCCAGGGTTGGCGGAGGGGTTGGGTTTTTCCAGGGTGTCTGGAGGGGCTAGTGTTTGTTGCCAGGGCCGTTGCTTTCAACACATGCTGAGCACCACGATTGCTTCGGCCTCCTTTTGGTTTCCCTCTATGGGACCAAGGGGCTGGTTGAGCAATTTCGCCCAACCTTGCACGTGCCATATAGGTCGTGCATGCACATGTGTACGCTTAAAACAGGGTCTTATAAAGCAACAGTGAATGGGGCTTGAGAGCTCCAGTTCCCGTGGTTTCCGTGTGTTCCACTTGAGTTGTCCGATGAATCTTCTTCAAGGCCTGGCCTTTTCACTGAAGCGGTTCTGGACTTTTCAGGAATGTCACTCGTTGGTGTGAGGGGACGGGTTTCGGTCATGGCACATATTTTGAGCAACGGAGAAGATGTCTGGGATTTGGAGAGGACATGGCAAGGCCTACTCAATATCCCTTCTTCTGTTCAACAAAAATAAGGCCCCCAATCAAAATTAGAAAAACAAGTCTGTGCGTAGGTGTCAGAATTCCTTCCTCCCAAAAGGGGTTGCAAAACCAAAACGCATTTCCCCTTTGACCCCAGGTTTCTTGCAGCAAAAACAACAACAGGAGCACCATTCCCTTTTCCCTTTTGACCCAAACCCCAAAAAGTTGTTTTTGCAAAAAAATATGGAGGAGCACCGCATCCCTTTTCCCTTTCACCCCCCCACTGAGCCCCAACCCCAGAAAAAGACAAAAAAAACCAGGAACCACACAAAAAAAAAAAAGAGCGGGGGCGCCATGTCCCGCTAATCCCGTGGTGTGAAACCAAAAGCGCGAAGAGTTGGCAAAGGCTTTGGCAGCACCCGCTCCGAGGCCGGCGCTGGCCGTGGCGCCGCTGGGGGCGGCCTGCGCCTCGCTGGCGCCGCAGGCGGCGCCGGGCACGGTGCGGGCGCTGGATGCGGCGGTGCAGGTCTTGGCGCCACGGATGGGTCGGGACTGGGGGGACTGGGGGGACTGGGAGGTTTGGGGGGAAGGGATGGGGGGAGGATGGGGGATGACTTGGGGCTTTTGCCTATAAGCTGTTTGCAGATATTGTCTATGTATGTATAATATATATATATATATACATGCACGTATGTATGACATGTATATGGCCCCATGCGGAGGGGGGGGGAGGGGGGGAGGATATTGACTTTTGGAGGGATGTGTCGTGTTTTTAGGGTGGGGGGGGGGGTGGAAGTTGGATCGGGATTTTAGTCGGCTTTTTTAGATTGCATTTTTTCGGGTTTAGGTAGTGGGTGTTGAACTTTTGTTTCGGGAGGGGGAGAAGGGGTGCGGGGTTGAAGGAAGGTAGGAAAGTATGGTGGAGCCTGGGGTTTGGGTTCGTTCAGTGTCCATGGCACGAGCATCCGGTGGATAGGGGGTGAGCCCCAAAGAGCAGAAAACACCTGGAACCAGGGGGATGAACCACGTGGACCCGCCCCCCACCCCACACAAAAAAACAAGAACATGTTGGTTTCAATTTGCGTAGCCTTGGTATTCTTTTGCACTCCAGAAAGGGTATTCTCAAAGAGAGACACCACATCACACTCCTCGTCAGGGTCTCAACATGAGCGACCAGGACTAGAGGTCCAACCCTGTTCCAGATCCTTCTTGAAACGTCTCCAGCAGAAGCTGATATATGAAGCCCACAACTCAAGAACCCTATCATTGTATACACACATGTGCATGTTCACAAATATGTATATATATATATACATCTGGTCAGCCGCCCACCCCCCATGTTCTACCTTCAGTTTTGTTGCAGTCTTTTCCAGACTGCCTGGTGTTCTACGCTTGCAAAGTTTGCAAAGCAGGTTTTTCACGTTTTCGGACACGTGCAATAGCTAGCCACATGTACGCTCGATTTGACGCTTCCTGAGAATGCAAGTGCATTCAATAAAGACATTGCTCATTTCAATGCAGTACCAAACACATAGAAACCAAAGCAACTCAAGAAGCCAAAGCAATCTAAAGAACACAGTCTCTGAGGCAGACGGGAGAATCGTTGGTTTCAGCCCCAAACTTTGGTTTTGTTGGTTTTATCGAGTGGTTTGTTTTGTGCGTTTGCCCACAGTTTTGTTTAGTTTGTTTGACATTACCTCTCCAAGAACACCAAACTAACTCGAGGATTCTTTTAGAAGACCAGACGTCCACAAACCCAGAAGACCTCGAGTTGTTTTTGTTCGTGAGGGATAATGTAAAGAAACCACAAAAGCTCAGGGAAACCAACAAAAGCAATCCTTGAGCAATAAGAAGCAAAGCAACGCTTAGGGCTGAAACCAAAGATTGTGCCCCAGATGTTTTTGGATTTTCTTGTGTTTTTTTTGCTTTCCCCTCTTGTTTTGTTTTCTTTTGTTTGCATTGTCCCTCCCAAAACTGGTTTTTTTTCCTGGATTTTCTTCTAGAAAACCAACCAGACGCTGAGTTGTTTGGTTTGTGGGCATTGACACTCTTGGTGAAAGGTGTGACCGCAAATGCAAACACCTTGCTTCGATGTGCATTGACATCTTTTGCTGAACTTTGTTTTAGACTAAGCACGCACTGAACCAAGCAAATCACAGGAAAACACGTCAATCAACATGGATCTGCTTCTTGGCAAAATGGCGCAACGTGGCGCAACATGGCGCTTCGATCTGGTAGGTGCCCAGCATGACCCTCATGTGTGTGTGAAGGCAGTAAATGACATGCGTTGCGCAGATTGATCCTGTGTTTGCGAGCCGTGCAAGGAGGCTTCACGGGAGCTTTATAAGGAGCATTTTAAGGAGCCCTGTAGGCTTGAGTCAAGAACTTGAGGCCAGCTGATGAGTTCTGCTTTTAAATCAAAATTCAATTTCAACTAAGTCCTTATGAAATTTTACATGGATTTTAATATATGTTCAATCAATTAAAGCTCTATTTGGTAAGAAACTCCTCTTTTCAGCCTAAACTAGACTGAGGTTGCTGATTGCGCTTGAAAAGTACATGGACTTAGATACAGGCAATTAGCTTGTTTACATTGGAGTTGCAACTTGAATCTTTGAGCGCATAAGGAAATGCAGTATTGAACTTAAAACAACATTTTAATTGGGATTTCTTTTGAGGCCACTTTGTGGCAAACAGGATGCAAGATTCCCCAGGCATCTTTTTCCAGCTTCTTACACCTTGAACCTCGGAACTTGCAGTAAACGATTGGCAGCTCCAGCTAGAAACACACATGCTTTATTTTTCCGGGCAGTAAACAAACTACCCTTTGGCAGCTTCAACATGCCTGGAACAGCTCTGCGATTGCAATTGAACCCTTATCATTTTGCGGGGAAAAGCTGCAAACCCTTCCAGATTGGGAAAACCAATTCATTCCTATTATAAAGATTGTCCATGTCCTTCCGCAGTCCCATTTGTATTCCAGTCCAGCCCTGTTGAAACTCATTTGGAACGCAAATCCTATCACGTTCTATGTGTGCTTTATCGAGTTGGCTTTATAGAATACGATCAATGCCATTTATTGAATATCCAGTATGAGTGAGTCACGCTTCACAAAATTCAAGGATCAAGGTCTTCAGAAGAAAGGTTTCTGGGGAATCTTGAAATCTCAAAGCACTGGACACATGTGCGGTTTTGGCAGGTGTTTAGGAGAGGGTATATATACGGTACCCCAGGGTCCAGGTTCAAAACCTGGGTTTTGGAGGGGGGTTGCATATATATATATATACATGTATATGTATATATGCATACACCTGTACGTGCACGTATAAACTTGTTGCTTCCTTTCTAGTTAGCTATCCACGAGAATCGATCCGGTTTGCAACTAAGAGCAGCGCCCAACGGGTCCCTCCCCATAGTCGTGCTCTGGCGGACCGCACCGTACCCGAATGCGTAGTTGTGACAACACGAAGCAGGGTTTTCACAACAGGGACTTGGAGGTACGGTCCTGGGGCACGTGCGTGCCCTACCCCGAACTGCACCCCCGCACAGTTCTCCCCATGACTCTATTAACCACACGGTTTGCAAAAACCTTAGCAATCTAGCAGAACCAAAAGTCAACGGCTCAGGTGCAACGGCTCCGGGAGCCCGTGGACGTAGACCAGCTCGAGTTCATCGTGGATCCCTTGGGGCGGATCGCCCTGGCGCAGGTGAGAGACGTGCGTCGTGTTAACCGTGACGTGTAGTGGCAATGGGGGGGGTTATCCAAAATGCGTGTGTCGTTTCTTGAGGATTTCTTTTTTGGAGTAGGGTTTAAAAGGGACACCACAAGGAAGCCAAGCATTTTTGTGCCCCTATCTTAAGACACATCCAAATATTGCCGGTTCCTTTTTGGGCGGCGCCCAAGATGCTGCTGGTTAAAGGGGGGCGAGGCGTGGTGGTTCCAATGTTTTTGTCGTTTGGCGAGGGAACTAAAACACATGATGGACAAGTATCACCTTGTTCTCTCTCTTTCATGGCACGCGAGGAAGACACACGAAGGAGCCAACACAAACTAGATTTCCAAGGTTCCGGACTTGATACGTTTCAGATTCTCAGATGAGTGTTGGCTCGAATTGATCCGGTTGTGTTTCTCAAAATAGGGGACCTCTAAATCAACCTCTAAAGATGATCGGTTTCCTTTCGGGCTTCCTTTGAAACAGTGAAAGGGAGGTTCTCTATTTTGAGAAGCCACCATCTCAAAGCCTCCATGCCGAGCGCAATATGCATCCGATTGGCCTGTGTCACCTGGACGTTTCTGTTTGCATCCGCGACGAAGACATGCGCGCTGGAAGTGGATTTCGAGGAGAGCGCTGCTTTCCAAGTGAGGGTCTCGGGCGCGATTTGGCTGCGCAGCGCGCCGCTGAGATTGTTTGCGAACGGGCTTTGGCATAGCCCAGTTGGTCCAAACGCCAGCATGATGTACCTTGGTGGTTCCCAGCCATACCACTTTGACTTTCAGTCTTTTGGAGTTTAGAGGGATTTCTGACGCATCCCACTCAAAGAGCTTTTGGCAAGGGGTCAAGCAACCACTGAGGCACCTATCCACCCAGCGGTCAGTGGGAAAGGACCAGATGGGCAGTTTTGCCTCTGTCAACGTGTCCTGGCATGTGTCAAGCGAGCCTCCCATGGTGGTCCACACATCATGCAAACAGTACAAGGACCAGGTTGGGGGCCAGGCCCTTTTGGATCACTGGAAGGGGTTCAAAGGGGTCCATAGTTTGAACACCGGAGCAAATTGAAGTGAAAAACGGCCAAGAGGAGCCCATCAAAACCCCAGCAACATGTCAGCTCTTGTTTATGTTGGCCAGGAACCGTCCAGGTGGGTGGCTGTTTTTTTTTCAGGTTGGACCTTCAGGTCGGACCGCCCCAAAATGGCGCAACAATTTTGGTTTCAAATACGGGTACCATCAAAAGATGAGCCACCCAGCTGTGAACACTTTGGCGCTAGGACCTGTGCGCCGTGGTCTTCACTCAAGATATTCCCGCGGGCGCCAGTGGCACCAATGCCTCGAATCCCATCCTGCCTGAAGGTCACGAGCTTGAAGAAGGTGGGCTTGGGCAAATTTGCAGCAACCGGACCCTTCCGCCCTTGGGGAAACCACAAGGAGGTCAACTTAGGGTACTAGTAGACTGAATATGAAGAATCTGAGAAAAGGGTTTTGTTTGGTGCACGCCAGAGTTGGGAGGTGCGCACCCTCCCATTTTCGCCTTCCCGTCCTTTGCAGCCGACGCATCGCTTGCCGGCTTGGGCTTTCTTCTTTGGAAGGGCATGATGGCTCGAGCGGAGTATGGGCAAAATGTCACGAAGCACTTGGCTGGGCTGAGCTCAAATGGACCCGTTGTCCTTTTTGACAAGCTGATTCAAGCGCTCATCATCTCTCCAATGGATAACTACAAGTCTGCGGTGCACACTGCCAGTGCAGAATCCTGGGAGATGGGGGTGTCCAGTGAGGTCGAATCTTTGCCAAATGGGTTTGTGCATCGGACACTTCTGATCTTTGATGTGGGGATTACCCGTGCCATGGATCTTTATGGTCAGACGTTGCGAGAACTGCACGGCACACGGCGTTTGCCGGACCTGAACTTGGAGTTTTTGTCGTATTGGACAGACAACGGCGCATACTACTATGGCGATGCCTGGGGTCAGGCCGGGGGCGGAGGCCCCGATTGCAACGAGACCTCGATGCTTCAGGTGGCACAGGGACTGGACCACCAGGGTCTGCTGGACAGTGTGGGTATGTGGCAATTGGATGATTGGTGGTATCCAGGTCATCCGGCCATATACGTGCATTGTGCGCCTTTGAGATAAAAGTTGACAAGCTTTCTTCCAACACCATTTGTGATTTCTACATGAACAAAGTGCGCTTTGCCCGTGGAATTGTCTTTTTTCCCACACACCAGGAGTTCACAAGCTGGATGTGTGTCATTTTTTCACCCTGAGCCAGGTCTCCAACTGGACTCTAAGCCCGCCCGCCTTCAATCGAAGCCTCCGGGAGCTCAGCGAAGCCATCGGAAAGCCATGGCTGCTGTATGTGCCGTTTTTCTGCCCGAGCAACGTCTACAGAGACTTCAGGTTTGTGAGGGGATCGAGCGGTCCCACAGAGTTCGCGCAGCCACATCCGGATGATGCGCTGGAGTTCTACCAAATGCTGTTCGACGAGGGGCTCCGCAATGCCATGGGGGGCTTCGAGCAGGACTTTCTGAACTTCAATTTCCTAGGCGTCTTGGTGCGGAATCCCAGCCATACGCGTAGACGCGACCTTCCATATATATATATATATATCTCACATTCCTTAGTTGTAAAATGGTGCAGAACCGCAGCCATACGCTTCCCTAGACTCCACATCTTCCATTTGCTCAAGAATATGTTTTTACTTTCCACTGTTGGCTTCTTAAGGGAGTTTATCACTACTGGACATATTTTTCCGCCTTTTTGTTCCAGAGGACTTAGGCAAATGGAACACTCATAGGCTTTTGGGGGGGATGTGTCTGACATCCTGAGCCGTGCCCCTCTTCCGGAAGAGCTTCGGCGCTGCCTCCCGGTGGCTGGGAGCTTTGCACCAGGCCGCCCTGGAGCGGAAGGCGCCCTGACGAGTGTTTAGTGGTTTCAAAGGAAAATTGGAAAACCAAGAGGAAGCCAACAAACGACTAAAAGCGAGAGCATCAACAGGAATCCCTGCTGGAAAAACAGGAAACAAAACAGAATTCCGCAGTATTCCAACAGGAAAATCGAAAATTGAGGGGGAACCCAACAAATGGTTTTGTGTTTGGGGTTTCCCTTCAAAGCCACCTTAAGAAAGGTGCACACGGATTCATGTCCACCACCCCCCTGTGGTTTGTCTTCATAAAAGTGATAGCCACTTGTCTAGTGTCCATTGGTCTGGGACATGGGGAGCGGAACTCTAAACTTCCCCGGCCTCACAAACTCCAGAAACCATGCGACGGGAACCATGTCCTCGCAGCGCTTGGAATCCCAAAGTGGTAGAAACTCCAACTTCGGGAAGATTCTCAAGGTTCCAATTTGTTAGGGTTCATCAACCCCGGGAAAGCCCTATAAATAACCAGTGTCAAGTTTGGGGAGGCAAAAATAACCGAAGAAAACACAAGCCTGCATCCACAGATCTGAATCTGAATCTGGGCAAGAAACAAAGTTAGACGGCAGGTGCCGGTACAGCTGTGCATGGCACTGCCCAGCGATCTCTTGGAATCCTTGCGATTCGGCAGTGCCACCAACTTCCGCGCCTCTGGGGATTATGCCTCGAAGGACGGACCGGTCACTTCCAGTTTTGGACTTGGTCCCGTTTTCGGAGGCTTGGTACCTGCGTCTTTCGCTTGGTTTTAAAAGGGACACCAAAAGGAAAATCCACCTTTCGGGGGGGGGGGGGCTAAAAACAGACTCACCCATTTGCTGAAGAATATTGGTTATTTTCTCATGTTGGTGTTAACGGGACGCAATTCTATATACTACTGCAAGTGTGTGGTTTCTCATGTGTTGTCCAAGGGACTTAAGCACCGGGAGGACAACTACGATATCGGCGCCTCCTCTTTGCTGGGCTTCGCGCTGCAGCTGCGGCCCTCCAAGGACAGCTTCCCGGCGCACCTTTGTGTCCTTGTTTGAAAACCGGGTTTCCACCAAACGCAGAGGTCCCCATATCTCCCCCTTTAATTTTGAGCAGCATCGAATCACCTTTTTTGGGCCAACTTGAGGTGTTTCAGCGGACACAGACAGCAAGACTCCAGGCCAATGTGAAGTGAGCTTCCTGTTTACGGTGTAAATTTGGGGATCCCTGAACAAAGAGGGATGAGTGTGACTCTCTTTTTGAGGGCACCCATTTTGGGGTTTGCAAGGACATTTCAAGAGGAATGCCACAATGTTCGGGCTTGAGACACCATATGTCAATATCGGGGCATCCTTAAAACAAACTGATGGCTGTGTCTTTTATTGAGAGCGCCCATTCTTGCGGCTTGGAAGGAACATTAAGAGGAAGACCGACGCCATCTTGGGGTTTCACACACCTGGCTGAGGCTTTTGGACTCACCGCCCGGTGAGCGCGGTGGAGTCTGGGAAGCCTTGGGGTGTGAAGGAGAACCCCGGAGCCAACTGCGAGCTGAACGCCTTGATCGCCGCGCTGTCTACAGGCCCTTTGGCCCTGGCCGACAAGGCCGGCCGTGAGCCCATGGAGAGGTCGACGTTTTTGGGAGGGCTTGAAAGGGGAGAAAGGAGGAGCGGATTTTTGGGCGCCCGATTTTGACACGTTCCGGGCACCTGAATGATTCAGGTTCTTGGAGCGAACCCCCTGATGTTAGGAGAGAGGGTACCCAGAAGTGATAACAGTCATACTATATGTGGGACAAAATTCAAGCACCAGGAATTGGGCCGCAGGTTTTAGTCCATGTTTCCAGGTACCAGGGCCCCACCCATTTTGGGCTTACCCGATTTTTGACCCACCCCATATAGGAAGCCACTGCCAGGCCGGGGACACCAATAAGACCCTGGTGATGCGGTGCATCCGCGCTGATGGTCGCATCCTGCAACCGGACAAGCCGGCCACGAGCATCGATGCCACTTTTACTGCCAGACTCCCAGCGGCTCCCCGGGTTCTCCTTTAAAAGCAACAGTCGCGAAACAGATGGCCTCTTTCAGGGGTGCCTCAATTTGCCTTTTGAGGACCTGCCTCGTTTGGGCGGTTTCAATGGAACCCGCAAGCAAATGGATCAACCTGAGGGGACATCCAGCGACCCCCGTCTCTGTCAACCATGGCGACTGAGGCCACCGGCCCGGACTCCGGCCGCATTTGGTCGACATTCACGGGTCTGGGTGGCTGGAGCTGGCACTACGTCTTGTACATCGACCTCATTTCGCCCTGGCAGCTGACTTATGGCGACTTCTACCCGGAGCTCCAAACTTCTGTGTGGCGCAGGTGGCACGAAGGCCACCAGCCCCGGAGCTGTGCCCACCTGCAGCCAGCAGTGGCCTCGGGGTGCGTGGGCCTGGGCGTGCCGCGCCTGCTGAATGACCGGCCCATCATGGTGCAGAACGACACACGCCGCTTCGACTTGGTGCAGTTTTCGCCCATCTTCCCCAATGGATGGGTCCTACTTGGGGAGGCAAGCTGGGGGTCAGTAGGGGACAGCCCCTTGCAGAAATACCAAGTGAAAGGCTTCTGAAAAGTCCCCGCCCCCCCATTATGGTTTCAGCGTTGGGTTTCGAAAAGACATGTCTTGATTCTCAGTTGGGAGTTTCAAAGATGGTGTATCTCAGAATCTCCATGTTTTCCATTTGCTTCCAGAATATGTTTATTATCCCCTGTTTGCTTTAGAGGGAATCTGTCACTATATACACGACATATGGTCTGATTTGTGCCAGGGGTCTCAAGCAAGCTTGGTTGGTATTCAAAGGAAACCACCTAAAGTACGACCTTCCCAATGTGAGAAGCCAGGTGGGCAAGTACGTGGGCGTGAGCCGCTGGCGGTTTCTGGACGTGAGTGCTCCCCTCGGCGGACTGGAGCTACAACTGGCTGGAGCTGTGGGGGAAGAGGTGCGGGTGCTGGCGCTGCAGCCTTCGGGCACGAGGGAGTGGACCATCCTGGAGAAGCAGGCCTCACACTCACTTGAGTTGTCCTGTTTGGTTGTTTTGGTGGAAACATAGATGGCGATTCCTGGTTTACCTGGTGGTTTCATCATGTGCCAGGGCCATCTAGTTGCCCTAAAGGGACACCTATGCTCCCTTGGCGCTGCGGTCTTTGTGGCTGAAGCGCCCCTGACAGCAGGATCTCTTGGAAGCAAATGGCACTTTCCATGAAACCTACAAAATGTCGGACTTGCGACCTTTTGCTGCTAGTGGGAAGAGCAACTTACCCAATGGGGGGTTCTTAAAACTTCAAGCACCACGTGCGGCAAAAAGCCGATATTTTGTTCACGGGTTCGAATGGCAGGTCTTGATTGTTTCTCGGGTCTCAGTACCCATCAAAAATGGGCAAACATGGCCATGGGATTTGATTGGTCAGACTGCTGCAAGGCTTTTCGGTGTTCTTAGCGTGTGATTGTGTTCTGGGGAGCACCCTTTTTGGGATGGCTTTCAAGGGAATCCAACAGGGAACCATTTTGGGGGTTCCAAACACCCATTTTGACACGCCCATGTAAGACGGGTTTTCACCGCGAAAGACTCCGCAGGTGAAATTTGAGGGCGCGCATGCGACGCTGCACTTCGGAGAGACAGCCTTGCAGGTCTAAAACGCGGCGAGCAGCAACTTAAGCACAAGGCATGAGATTCCCCCTCCTGCCTCAATACAGGGATCAGTTCAGTTCATCCCCCAAAATGGCAACGGCCCCCGTTTGGTTTCCCTTTAACCAAATGAAAGGGCGTCCGAATCCCATTTTGAGAAGCACCCATGCATTGGGTCCGCCGGGATTTTCCAAAACCTGGGTGAAAATTGTTTTTCTTAAGGTTTTTATTGGCTGGGGATTAATTGTATTGAGGTCTACAAGCAGCTTGACTGTTTCAAGAAAGCTAATCACATGCCAACGTGCCGTAACATCAATTACCCTTGAAAATGACAACCTATGTAGATGGCGCGAAGATTGTCCATTATGCTACAAACCCCCATGTTCGTTCTTGGGAAACCTTTGCGATTCGGTCGCTCATAACTGCTTGATGCACTCACTCCCCCAGTTTCTGGCCTTCAAACCTGTTTGTGGGGCCTGGGAGGGGGTACCTTGTTATAGACCCCCCAAAATGACGCGTTTCGGTCGTCATTCGGTGGTCATTTTGGTTCAACCGTTCACACCAAGCCAAAAGACGAGCCCCTTAATATGAGCCACAATCAAAGCCGGGTAGGTGAAGGTAAGGACCAGCCGCCAAAAGAGTGCGCCCGTCTTTCGAATCCGTTGCATGGTTTTGGGTAGACCATGTTAACACCGGGTTTTGATCGTCATAGGGTTCGAGACATGGACTCATTCCCCACGAATGTGGCATGTCCATGTCCCGCAGCTTACGCAGAGCCCCATGGGAATCCTCAAACGAGTTGCTTGGGGGAATATTAGAGGGATACTAAGGGAATATCAGGGGAATCCTTGGAGAATGTAGTTTGGTAGAAAAAGATAGAAGCAGGTGCAGTGTTGGAATTCCTTTTAACCAGACATGAAATTTGCTTAAGTTGTTTCCATCGTGAAAAATCTAAGCTGTACGCGCAGATTACACCCACTCTTGGGTGGCCTCTCAACTGAGAATGATGACTCCTGTTGGAATGTACCTTATGTGGGAAACCTGGTGTCTGTTGGGACGTTTTTTGTTCTTCTTGTTTGTGTGTTTTGTGTGTTTGTGTTTTTTTAGTGTGTGTTGTGTTCTTTTTTTTGGGGGGGGACCGCCTTTTTTGGTTTGTTTCAACAGGAGAAAAAAAAACTAGAACCAAAACCCGTTTTGGAGCCTGAAGATCTGGTTATCCCAACGAATATTCACCCTATGTATTTCCCTAGTATTCCTGAGTAGTCCCTCCAAGTATTCACTCTATCTATTCCCCCCCCCTCCCCAGAGTAGCCCCAATTTTCCCCTCGGTATTCCCCAAGGATTCCTTTAGTATTCTCTTGGCATACCGTAGTATTTCCCCCTTAATGATTAGCCTTAATGCTTCCCTAGTATTCCTTTCAGTATTTCCCTAGTCTTTAGTTTTCTCTCGGTATACCTGTTAGTATGTCCTCAGTGTTCCCCTTGTATCCCCTCAACATTCCCCGCTAATTCCCTCAATTTGACTCTAGCATTCCTTCATTATTTTCTTGGTATCCCTTAGTATTCTCTCAGTGTTCCCCCAACATTCCCTCAATATTCCCCCAGTATGTCCATAATTTTCCGTAACTCATCCCCTGTTATCCCCGCAGCATTGCCTCTGTAAACGGGGTAACCACACTGTTTCTAGTGCGCGAAAATAACGGACCTAGTTGCGTCTTTGCAGCATGCGAAGCCGGGGTAAAGATAAGCCCGCCAGGAAGATGGCCTAAACTGAACAGAACAAGCAACACGCCGAGGAAAACAAATAAACAACAAGCAAATCAACATGTTCCCCCCTTATCCCGTAAGTCTGTCCCCTGCCTCTGTAAATGTGGGTACCCACTCTGTTTCTCGTGCGCAAAAATAAAAGACCTAGTGGCGTCTTTGCAGCATCCGAATGGGAACCCTTGCAGGCCCTTCAAGATTGCTCAAACACATGCGCTTGAGGAAGACTCTGTCTTCACGTTCACTAAAATCACACTTGTAGGTTTCCCCAACAAACCCACCACTCAGGAGGTTGGTTTCTGTTTCTGTTTTCCCCAGAGGATTTCAAAACGCGACATTCCAGACCCCTGATTTAAGGTCCCGCCGAATGCCAGGATGCTTGGAAGGACGTGCTTCTACGCCTCAGCACGCCAGAGATGGCCTCCGTCATCCCGGCGCTGTTCTCATTTGGCTGGGTCTTGCTTCGAGGGTGCCAGGGTGCCCCCGGTTTTGTTGTTTTGAAGGAACCCCATAAGGAAAACCCACACAATTTGGGGGGTCCCCACGCATGTTGAGTCGCCTGACACAGGGAACCCTGTAAAAACCAAGATGAACATGGCAAAGTGACCAGAGCCCAGGGTGGCCTTTTTAAGTGACCCCGTGGTAGGCAAGGGAACCGGCCTCTAAAACCCAAAAGAACACATCGTGTTGAAACAGTATGGGGGCCATGTACCGGTAGCCCTTAATCGCTGGCTATGGCTCCTGGTGTTGAGGGAGCCCAGAAGGAGCCCGACAAGCCAACCGGAATGCCTTCGGTAGGATGAATCCAGGTGCTGACCCCAGCCCATTGAAGGAATCAAAGGGCAGATATCCACCAACTTGTTCCGCATCTTTACCAGCAGTGTCAGAGGTTTGCTCATTCCTGGCCCTCGAGGCCAGAACATCTGTTATGGCATGAGTTGTTCCGCAAAGCCTGCAAGCTTGCTCAAGAGCTTGGAGGCTGTTCCCCTCCAGGCTGCCATGGTGTTTTGGGGCGACGAGTTTCGCCGTGTGCGCTGTTTTGCGCTCAATGTGCCTGCCCAGAACTTGCGCCAGCCCACTTTGCGCCAGATGTGATCAGAGACATTGCAGGGCAGAGGCAGCAGTTCGCTTTCGCCATAAGTGTGCTGGTGTTGTCCAGCTGAGTTGAACGCAGCGAGCGCTCAGCGCTCCGTGTGCTTCTTCGCGCGCACAACGCGCCAGATTCGACTCAACCACGTAGCAGGGGCCCGTTGTTACGAGCTGCCCAGCAAGCGGAATCTCGCTTTAGAACGGAGCTCTCACCCTCTGCCCTCATGTGAATGAAGAAAGGCGACCAGGCCACACTTCCTTTTCACCCTCCTCGGGATGTCAAATAAACCATAGGGTTCCAAAGGGAGTTTTGACCAGTCTGGGCTCGAGCCCCTGCCAGCGGGTCAGACCGCGCAGGCCAAACGCTTGCGGGTACGATTCAGCCATGGAGAGGATCACAGTGGAGGTGCGTGTGGACCTGGAACGGGCACGCCCGAGGTGCGGTCGCCAGGCATTGGTCCATGGGGCCATCCCGCCTGGTGCAACCTGGCGCCGGCCTAGTCCGAGTTGTGCTGAACGGAACATTCTTCACGAAGGACATGCGTGAAGCAGGGAGGGTGGGCGGTCCAGCCCAGTTGTTTCCGGCAGATGTTGTTGAGCTTGCCTGAGACGGTCATTCCTGACCCGACCATGATGGTGGAGGGCGCACCAGAGCGGCGCCATTGTGTTTGTTCACGGACGGTACCGCAGCGTGCCCGGCTAGCCCGAGAGTGAGGTATGCGGCTTGGGCCGTAACCATGGTTGATCCGTCGGATCTTTGGCACAATGTTCAGTGCAGCGCGGGACACCTCAGTGGCTTGGTCCAGACAGTGCCCAGAGCTGAAACCCGTGCGGCCCTGGCGGCTTTGGAATTTGGCATTCGTGCATCGCGCCCTGTTCATCTTTGGATTGACTGCCAGCAGGTAGTAGACAAAATTCGGGGCATTTGTGATGCCACATATGAAGTTGCACCTAACCACAAGGATGCTGACCTTTGGCGTGAAGTTGTGCAGTGTAATTATCGTGATACTTACACCAGAATGGGTTAAAGTAACAAAAGTTGCCGCGCATGTACAGGAAGCCCAGACACCTCTTGAAGAATGGGCCACCTTCCACAATGACAAAGCAGACCGAGCAGTCAAGTGGGTAAATAAGGAGCGTCCCTTTGAATTCTTGCAGGTACACCAGCGACTTGTACGGGAGTTGCAGCTTAATAAGGAACTTGTGAGTGAACTGCACCAGCACTTCATACGTGTCGGCAAAGCTATGGTGACCAAGGCCAGGCAGGCAGACCCCGAGGCAACGCCTTTGCCGGCAGTGACCCTTGCATGCCCGCCCTTCGTGCGACCGGCCATCTTGGGAACTGTGAGTGAAGCAGTACAGAAAAGTTTGGTCCTACCAACGTTCGGTACCTGTGTGCCTGGTGGCAACAAGTGTGCACGGGTGAGCGACTCACTTGGGTCTCCTTCCTGCAGCTGCTCGTGGATTACCAGATGGCGACAGGGCGTCAGGGCCCTGTCTATTCCTTGAGCGAAAACAAGTGGGGCGATCCTTGTGAGAACCGAATCGCACAGCTGCCTGAATACCAAGTTCAGGATCGGGTCCGGCGGTTTCGCCGGATGCTCCTCGATGTGTGACGCCAACAGGGCGTGGACTTTGGACTCGCCTACGTGCGGCCCCAGCACACCATGCTGGTGTCATGGTTGGCATGTGTTGCTGTGCCTTGGCCAGTTGAGAGAGTGCGGGTGGTGGAGGACTGGATGGGTGATCACTCGAGTAGTGCCAGCACGAGCACGCGCCTGGCGACTCGCACGTTCCCAGTTGCGAGTCGCAGGCGGGAGATGGTGGTGGAAGTCGACCAGGGCATCCGGCGGTGGATGCAGCGAGGTTAGTCCCTTTTCTTTTTCACACACGGTCCCGCCCACTGAGGCTTGGCCGTCGATGTTTGCGCGCAACGGAGAAAAGGAGTTTTGACCATGGCGCATATCAGGAGTTCCCCTGTTTGCTGCAATCTGTTGGGTTTTGCACCTTGTTTGCATGATCCATAGAACACAAACGCGTGTTTGGATTTGTTTGGACCCCCCCCCGCCATGATTTTGACACGTGGCCATGAATTTGATGGGGACGCGCCAGCCACAAGTAGTTGGTGGACATGACTCCCCACCACGACGTCCTCAAAAAGTGCAGTAACTCAGAGTTCACATCCACATACTCGTGAAGTATGATCATATCCAGAAAAACCTGGGTTTTGGACCCCCCGTCCAACAATTTGTGACTCACATCCCGTGCCAGAACCGCATTGCGGAGCTGCTGGGCTACCCCCGTCTGGAGAAGTACTGTGTTTGGCTCCTGGCGACTCTCGGGGGATTGCCCTACGTGGCCAAGGACCGCGAAAAACGAGCGAAACGGTCGAAACGAGCCTTGAGGACGAAACGCCGTCTGAACTGAACAATGACCAAACGGCAACTCAAAAGGAACTCTTGGAAACTAAATGTGTGTGTGTTCTCCATTGAAGCTACAAACGGTGGACCATTTAATCCAAGAGCGGTGGTCTCCTTTGGTCTCCCGGGTCTCTGGGGCCAATTCGGAGCAGCCCTGCTCCAGGGTCGAAAATTGGCGAGTTGTCCTTTGCTTTGCCTTTCTTGGAAGGGGATATCCACCGGGCCAGTGTTTGAGAGCAAGGATGTCAGGATCCATTTCACGCAAAAACGTTGAGCAACATCAAGCCCATAGATCCCAGGCACACCACTGTGTCACCAGCAATTTTCCGCGGTTTTCGAACGGTGGTGCCCTTGGCAGTCGCCCAGAATTACGGATAAATGGAATAACGGGGACCCATTGTTGAAATTTGATTCAGAGGTTCCGCAAGTGACCTGTAAGGACCCAGCCAACCAATGTGCACTCTTCGAAAGCAAGCGCTTGAATTTATGCTGGCTGCTTGATTTTAGTCGGAGCCAAAATCAAAGGACAAGTCCAAGGGCGCGGCATTTGGACTAGTTGCTAAATGAACCCATCTGTCATTTCCCTACACCAAGAGGAGATTGATCATATCTTGGCGGCCTTCATGCGTTCCGAGTCGTTTCAACTTCCATTTGCTTAAGTGTGTTTAGTGTTATTGTCCCTTGTTGGTTTCAAAGGGAATCTATCACTACTTGATGTTTTGTGGTGTTTTCTCTCTCTTTTTTTCCAGTGGGCTTAAGCGAATGGAAGTCCACTGGTCTCCTTAAACCTAGGAGCTGCACCAGCATATGGCCCAGCAGCCAGCAGTGGATGCCTGCTTTTGCGCCATCATCGACATTCTGGACGATGACGTGGACTGTGACGAGTCAAGTTTCGACCGAAGAATTCTTTTTGAAGGAAACTGATGCCCAGATTTGCAGGGTTCAAGGGGAGAGGAAAAGGCGAGCAGTCTTGATGGAAACCGGCAGATTTGGGGGGGTTTCACGGAAGGGAAAAGGCAGAGGGGCGGGGACTGACGAGTCAAGTCGGCGTCGACCGAAGGATTATTCGATGGAAACCGATGCCCAGATCTTTTGGGGGTTTCAGGGGGAGGGGAAAAGAAAAGGCGGCCCAACCTCCAAAGGCCGTAAAAGCCTCATTCGGGTTTGGGGAGGGGGTGGTTTTGGTCCTCGGGTTACAGGTTACCGTTATTTCAAGTCAGTGTATTCTCATTCAGCCCAGATGGATGCGGAAAGTATTGACAGTAGGTTGTTTTTGGGGTTTGGATTTTGAAGCGAGATGCTTGCTTGGCACTTTTCAAAGTGATCAGGAAACAGGTAGCCACCGGGATGGGAGTAAACCACAAGGTTGGGTTGTTGCTTCCGAAAACAAGGGGCGGGCCGGCGGGCAGCTGTGAAAACGGTGGGAACCTAGGCTTTTGCAGATAGCATCGAATCCAGGCTTATTTGGGAGTTCCTCAGGGTCTCGAGGCTGCGATTTCGGGCTGGTCAGATTGACCCGAAACAGTGACTGACCTTCCTTCATCATGTCTCATGGGTGTTTATGGCCCTTTTGGTCATTTTCCCGCCAAGCGCAAGGAACCAACCATGAGCGAATATGACAACATCTACCCTCCCTTCTAAGAACGGAGGCCTCGCAGGGTCCGGTCACTTAAGCAATCTTAACTCCCAGGTACGTGTATGGTAGTGGGAAGGGTAGTTCTTGTTATGGGCTAGCCGTGCTCCCGTCATTACTCTAGAAGCTCGGAACTCTTTTGGGGATGTCGCCAAAAGGGCATCTCCACCGCTATAGTCTGTAGGTTGACCACGTTTCCTTTGCAGAAGCTTTATGCATGTGTCTTGGCGGGTTGACCGCCGTGTTGTTGGGCGTCTGCACAGCTGATGGCAGATCAACTGGGTTAGTTTCTGTGCCATGGTCAAAAATACCATTTACTCATGGCAACCATGACCGTGACCCATATAATATATAAGGATGGCGCTTGCAGTAGTTGGAGGCAATTTTGATCCACTAAGAAAGCACTGGTTGATTAACGGGGGGCTGTCCCATTGGGGTCCTTTACTTTTGGTGGAAACAGCTCTCAATTCATCCAGTTTATCCGGGGTCGACATTACGGACCTGAGGATATGATTGCCAATAAAAAAGGCGAGCTTGGCTGGTACAATGACCTTGACCTGGGGACTTGGATTCAGTGCTGGCGATCTATGCAGACAATGGGATCATGAGGGGCAACCTCTTAAGTCTTGAGCCGCTCGAAATGATTTGTCCCAGCCGCACACGTGCTCTGTTTTTGTATCCGAGGCGAGTGGCTGCTGAAGGGCAGGACTGAGACTGTGACCACTCAAGATGCTCCAGGCCGGGAATCCCTGGGCTTAAGCTTTTTGAACCTGACTTGGGAGAATATCCAAACGGAAGCTGCACATTTTTTAGCACATAGTTCAAGTGGCAAATGCCTGCAAGCGTGCTATATATATGTCTTAGCCCGAGACATGTGCTCAAACGAAACTCTTCGGAAATCCCGAGAGGGTTGAACCAAGTCTGTTTGCTTTGACAAAGGTAAGAAAACCACCAGACCAACATGCGACCTCGTGATTATGTTTGACACCATGCTGAGAGCGCACACATTCTCAGGAAAGAAGTTACGCCGTTGGGAGAAAAGGAGGTTTGGCCCTCTTCCGGTTTTTCCACAAGCTGCTCGCATGCAGGGCACAGACGTACCCTAATGCATCTGAGCTTTTCTAGAAGGATGAGACTTGATAGCCGCAGAATCTCTGTGTGAAGAGTAAACATTTCCATGCTTAGAGGCATGCGACGTGATTGCTTGCCCGGCAGAATTTCCAGTGTGCTGAGTTTCCAGTGTGCTGATAGGGATTGGATCGAGTGGGCGAGGTCAAGGATTGGCTCGGTAGTGGATGAAACTAGCCGGACAATTTGCTCGGAAAACCCAACCTATGGGGTTCCCGTTCGAGGTGTCCGGTGGGCCAAGTACCTTTATAGCCCTTTGGGTTGGCCACTGCCGCAGCCTGAACTGAGAACGAGAAGCGATTCCTCTCAATCCCCTTGGCCAAGAGGGTCTGAATGCTCCAAGTCTCAGGGCCCGATCTGTTTTTGCGCAAACCCATCCGCAGCTGGAGAGGTGCCTAGTTCTGGGTCTTTGAGGCACATGTTGATGCACCAAAATAACACTGGGCCTCTCTTTGCCTTTTGGAGAAACCGCGATAGCGCTCAGGGACGTGATATAGTCCTTCTGTAGTTATTGAGGGTCCTTTGGAGGACACCAGCGAGGCTATACGCGCGTGTTTTGGTTGAGGTTATACGTATTCCTTCTGTAGTTGGGGGGTCTTTTAACCGAAGGCGAGGTGCGCAAAATATAGGTTGCGAATCCTCTGGCAGATTTCGTGAACCTGGTGGTAGCGGCCATGCAGCAACATCCGCAGGAGACTGGGCCAGAACTTTTTGAGACTGGGCCAGGGTTCTCCAGATTTTCGCGTTGTTTTAGGCGTCACCTTTTGGGCCAATTTTAGACTAAGTTTCATTTTGGTGTAGTGATGTTTGAAGGGGACTAATAGGGAGCCCTCCTTTGGTGTGCGTGGTTTTTTGGGGCTCGGCACCCTTCTTGTCGGGTGGTATTGAAAGAGAAACCAAAAGGACAACCACCATTGTTGGGCTCCCGCAGTTTTTACCCAGCCTGTCTTTCATGTTGTCCTTAATGCTGGATGGAAATTCATACATATATTATACACATTTATTTACATAGCATAGATATATTTCTGTGTATAACTACAGCGGGATGTACAATATGAGCTCACAAGCATGATGATTGTTGACTTGGGCGAAGGGATGTTTTCATGAGCAGAGCTGACTGAGCTTGCTTTTGCGAACTTAAAAGGTTCGAATCGCAAGGGCGGGGACTCAGATCGAGTTTAACAAGTTGCTGCATGGACCGTGTGCGATTTGGCTGGTCCGAACTTCAACATGACCAAACCGCTCTTCTGGTGCAATTTTGTCATTTGCCGGAGGGTTGCCTTTAAAGTCAACTAAAGGGTCACATTCTCTTTTCCAAACCACCGGGATAGAAAATTGGCAGAAGTGGTACTCTGTTCCGCATAGGTGTCCAAAGGGTGAGTTCGGAACATTGATATCACTGGATGCGGTTTGGTTGGGATCCATCGAGGTTATATAAGTCTTTTTTGGTGTGCTTTCCCCAAAACCAACCAAAAGGAGGGTACCCTCAAAAAGACACCCATTTGTCTCAAAGGACACCTAGGACGTAAATCAGGGCATGTTGCTGTCTGAGGGTCGAGTTTCAACGTGTTGGGTTGTAGAACTTGTTTCGTATGTTAGATCCTTTGCTAGCCATAGACATTCCGGGAGCCAATTCTCGGAAGATGTTGAACCCTCATTAGAGGAAGGCCAGTCTGACTATTGGGGCACGCCTATATCCTACAAGTTAAACCATCTTGTGAGGGGTTGCACTACTTTTAGTGAGGCTTGTAGAGAATCCTGTGTCACCATTTTGGAAGCGTTCGAAATGCTCCGCTCAAACAACGCCCTAATCATCCAATATCCATCCAATACCCAAGGAGAGTCAGATGCCAGAAAGGCCAGCAAAAATCGTCTTTAGCATGCCCAAATCGCCCCCTTGATTTGCGGTGTTGGGCTCTCCACAGCTGGGGTCACAATCAAAACCCGGGAGATTGGAGGGTAGTAAGGGATAATGCCAACCATAAATGGATGCGTCCGCATTTTTAACTCTTTACATGGTTGTGCGCTTGGATCATTTCTACACACGGTTTTGATTATGACTCACCTATCAGCCTTGGGCTTGAAGGCCGCACCAAAAAGGGGCTCCCCCCCAAAACGACAACCCCATAAATGTGTAATAACCTTCGTGGATCCGTTTGGGGATCCCGTCCCCTGCAGGACGCTTTGGTGCAAAGCCGGGGTTGCCACTGCTTGGCGCTCGCGCCTGCCTCAGATCGCGCTGCCTCAGGCCATCCTTCTGCCAAAAACGCGAGGGATTCCACTGATGCGGGGGGGGGGGGGGGAAAACGAGGGAAGCCGCATGATGAAGGTCCTTTTACTTGTTTTCAGGTTTTTGGACATCTAACAAATAACAGAATCATTTAGCCGAAATAGGAAAGGTTTCTTTGCCAGTACTGTAGGCCCCATGTCTTCCCTTTTTAGTGGGGTTGTTTTCTAGTTAAGCAGGAAATGGGGGGGGGTGATTTTTGTGAGGGTGCCCGGGGGTGGGGGGATTAACAGGGAAGCCAAAGGATTTTGTTGGGTTTCCCCATTTTGAGCCAACCCCGAATTTCATGGGAGTTAGCTGTGTCCATTGCCGTGTTCGGAAAGGCATCATGGACCTGCAACTGGGCTTGGAGGGCCTCCAGTATTCGGCAACACTCGCAGGCCATATCCAGGCACGCTTTTGACAATTCAATCAAAATGCAGTCAACATATGTTGACAAGCTCCATTGTTGTTGGCATGTTTTTTAGGTTTTCATGTTTTTTTGTTCTGATCGGTTTTGGCAGGCGCCTGCAAAAAGCTTCTTTTTCCCATAACACCAAGGGTTGGAAAGCAGAAAACAACTCAGTGGTGAAAAGTGTTCCTTCAAAGCCAATTCCCCAATTTGGCAAGTGTTTTTTTCCAGAGTGGTTGCTTGGGGGAGCCTCCTTGCGCGCTTGAGGTTAAGCGCGCTGAATGCGCTTGTAGAATGCACCCGCTCTTTTGCTGGAGTCCACCAATTCTTTGGTACTCCTTTTTGCAGGGGTAGAGCTACAACAGCCGCATCCAGACCGTTTTCTGGAGGAGGGCCATGTGTTGGGCTTTTGGTGTGTGTGGGTGTGTTTTTCTCCAGGCCGGCTTCTTGGCGGTGTTGGCGTTTGCTTTTCGTGGCTGGTTTGTGTGGCTTTTGGCGGCTTTTGGTTTCCGCGACCTGTTCGTGGCTTTGGCCCCTAAACCAACCCTGAAAGCAAGAGCAACCCCTACACCCATCCAAAAACAAACTCTAAACCCACCCTAAACCAACCCAGAAAAGCAAACACTAAACCCACTGAAACAAGCTCTAAAGCCCTCAACCAACCCCAAGCCGAGCATCAGCCGACCCTAAACCGACACTAAACCAGCCCTGACCAACCCCAAACCAAGCCAACATCAAAACCTAAACCAACCCCAAACCAAAGCCTAAACCCTGAGCCCGCTGGTGATGCAAGGAGTGCTAAAACACTGATGCTAGGGGCGTTAAAATAACGGTAATGTTGAAACATCTGGTGTAAAATGCGTGCAATTTTGCTAAAACATGCTGAAAAGCATTCTGGCACCGCTGGAGAAAAAGAAGCAACTCTTGCAAATAGTTCAACCAACAAGTCCGAATCAAGTCTCCGTCCTTTAGAGTCAGTCATGCCCCAATTTAAGGGTCATGGAAACTCCGGGTAGATCTTTTTGGAGCTAGGGCACTGTTCGTGAACCTGTGCCAAGGCCAGCCGGCAACGTTTTTTTTTGATTTTGGGAGCTTTGGGGTAGACGAAATATGCCACAGAGTCACATCTGATTTCAGAGTATCCCGTGTGCCATGGTCAAAACACGGCTTCTTGGTCGGGCTTGTCATTGACCCCGAGAAGTTCGACCATTGCAAACGGAACCTTTCGGCCGCCTTGGGAGTTTTGATGCCCCCTTCATATCAAACATATAGGTTTATGGTTTGTCTATTGGTGAAATTTCATGTGGCAGGCTCTCCTTTTGCTTTCCCTGTACACAGTTCCAAATGGGTACCTTCAAAAAGCACACCCATATAGCTCGGGAAAAAGACGTCCCCTGCATTTTGGGGGCCCTGTTGTCCTTAAAGGCTTGCCCAATAAAAACCAACCTTAAAGGGGCACCTTTTGCCTCCAAAGAATATGACCTCGAAAAAAGCGCACAGCAGGGGGTGTGCCTGTTCTTGTTTTAAATCTGTTGAAGGCACTATTTTTTAACTGGGTCTCCAATACTATTTTAGATAGGGTTGCTTCAATATGAACCAGAATCGGAAAATTGCATGTTGGACCCATGTGAGTCAAGGGGACACACCCAGGTCTTTCAGACCCGCCTGGCGCAGCATGTGGGAGAGCTGGGACAGGCAGGGCTTCTTGGTCCATGTTTGATGGAGCTTCCTTCCGGGAGGGTGTTGTACCTTGGCTCCCAGTGGCTGTTAGTCAAGGTTGCAAAGGAGAAGCTGCTTTCCAGGTCCTTTGGGTGAGGTAGCCAGACTAACTTACCTCTTGGTTTTGCATAACCTCCCTGCGTACCCAAAGTAGCAACTTGGTGGAATTGCAATGCCAAAGATCTTTTTGGGTCCCAACGAGATTTGCCCCCTTTGTGAGTGAATTCGCATTGGCCAATGCTGCTTTGAACAGTCGTTTGCATGTTATGACCTTGCATGTAGGTTTCTTTCAGGGTACCCTTTTTGGGTTGGGTTTTGAGGGAAACCAAAAGACAACCACAAGTTTCGGGGGTTCCCCATTCTGAGAATCCCAACTGAGCGGAGCTTGACTATCAAGACCAAAGGAGGCAGCCAGGCCGACCGAACAGTGTGAACTGCCGGCACCGATTGGTACCGCAAGGCTGGCGATCTTGTGGACCGCAAGGTGCCGTTTGGTGAGGATTATTCTTCTCGCTGGGCATCCCGCTTGAGAATAATTGAACAGAGCTCCTTGAGTGATTCATTTGGGGATGTGACAGGACCATGCATCAACCTGCCGCCAGCAGTCGATTCAAACAGCTTTGCAAACGGGTCTTGGTCCTGGGATTCTCGTCCAATGCAACAGCTTTGGTTCCCGCTGTGTCCGCAACCGGCAACCCTGTTTATCTCTCCTGGACCATTGTTGCTCCACACAGATCGTGTTTCTTCCAAGGCACAAAACAGGCGTCGAGCCCCGTTTAAACGTGGATGAATTGCCCGCAGCCTGGTGGTCTCGCTGCAAGGCCTGCATGGGTCGGATCCTCACCATTGTGAAGGAGGCCTACAACAGCCCCTTGGTACAAGAGTCGACCTTGATGTGTTCCTTTTCTGTTCGGGTTCTGTTCGCTTGGATACGAGTTTTGCATTTTGGGGTTCTGTTCATTTGTAGGGTTGTTCTAGGGGTTCAGGGCCTCTGGTTTGCATTTTTCGGGTTCTGTTCAATTGGCTGTGATTTATGATGTTGAAGAGTTAGATCCACCCTCGAAAGTGGTTGGTGGACATGAATCACCACCTAAATGATGTCCACCAAAGGGTCCCTAATAATAATAAAAATGCATATTCTGGGGTTTGAAGGTTTCTGTTGCTTGTTTGGTTTATTTGGGCTTCTCGCCCCTGTGCCTTTGGGGTTCTGTTAAGTTTCCGTGGGGGCTGTGAAAAAGGTGTTTTATTGCATGCATGTATACTGGGGTGGGAAGGGCCTAAGGGTTGCCCGTTGACCCATGCAAACGTGCCGTCGAAGCTAACCCTTCTTGGATCTTAAACGTCAAAAGCTGGCGCAACCTTCTTGCCCGCCCCCAAAAGGTGCAGAAGCTCAACTTCAGCCCCAGCCCCAGTGACTAAACATGTCCCTCTTTTGATTGGGGGTAACCAGCGGATTCCACCCTTTGAAAGCCAATAGGAAGATGGCGAAGGGTTGCTAGTGTTTCGCGGCTTGAAACCGCCTGGTTGCTCCTTTGTTTTTGCACGTGGAAAGGCTTAACCTGTCAAGACAAGAGACACATGCAGAGTACTTCGCCTCCCAACCTCATGCTTTAGCTTGCCCCTGAACCACGAAAATGAATGTATTTGTTCAAGACCCCGATTTGATACACCGAGCATGCTGCGTCAAACTAGGGATTTGAGCCCAGGAATTGGTGACGTTCCAAGGGGAAAAGATGAGCCCCCGCCAATGGTTGTCAGTGTTGGTTCCCCGTGAGCCAGGGTCCTTGCTTGAAATTGGAGAGCACCCCCCAATGGAACAGGGGGCGAGCACTGAAACTCATGTTTCTCAAAAGGTTGAGCTTTGAACCTTTTGGGATGGTTTAAAGGGCAACCAATGAAATCATGGCCAGTTTGGCCCTCTATTTGGGCGTTTCTCAAAAATCAGAGGCCCCCCCCAGAAGGTTGGTTTCCTGTTGGTGTCCCTTTAAACCTACACCAAAAGGGATCCCGAATTTGGAGAATACCCAGTTTGAGAAAGACCCATTTTGTCGGTCGGAGAGATCGCTGGAACTGTTGCCCTCAGGATGGGGATCGGTCCATCAAATCGAGACGGCCATCGCAAGAGGCTGCGTTCAAATAGACGCCGAAAATACCGGTTTTGCCTTTGGTTGCCCTTTAAAGCCACCTCAAACAGGGCACCCTCAAAATAAAGACACGCATGGACAAATTCTGCACCAGTTGGGATTGATGAAGCCCTATAATCACTGGGATGAACCACCTACCAACTGGTCCATCCACAGTATGTTTGTATTTTTCCATTTTGGCAAATGGTTTTCCAAAGGCTAAGGGAGCCCACCGGAGCACATGGTTGAGCGCGTTGGGCTTTTGATACAGGGCTCGGTTTTGTTCGTGAGCTTCTGGTCAGTTTCGCCAAAAGCTGATGGGAGGTGATCAAGGGGCCTGTCAACCAAATGAGCATTGTGCATGTGTCGGAATACAACGTATATCAGCGGGTACCTGTGGGGTGTCAAAGGGGCATTGCTTCGCTGAGGTCACTACAAGAAAGAGGCCACCGTGCGGGACATTTGTCGGGGCACCTGGAAATCCTAGCGCTCCAGGTTCGTTAGGTTGCAGCAGGATCTCCTGCATGCTTGTGACTTTGACTAGAGTGAATCTGAACCTATGGTTTTTGGTACGGCGCCGAGCTATCCGTGAGTGTCCTTTGGCATCCCTTTCCCACGGTTTTTGGAGCTTGTGACAGGTTTAGCAGCCCAATGTTTCCATTAACCAGGGAGCCAGTAGCTGGCGGCTCCCCATGCAAAACAGAACGATCCCCGAGGCCTTCTGAAAGAGATGGAGCCAGTTATTCGCGACCAACAAGGGGAATGGTCAACAGGCAAGCTTTGGTGCGGCTCAAAGGTTCTGAGTATCGTTATATGTGTCCCTTCCGAACCTTTCTGGGGGCGTGTTGTTGGGTCGGGCGTTCCATTGGGGCATTGACCTTTCCTAGGATATGAAAGTCAGAAACCTTGCTGTTTCCGTCAAGAGGTGGCTTCGACAAAGGCGACATGAAGCGCACCTGGACAGTTGGTGCGACTGCTTTGATCCTTACAGTCCATGTCTGTGTGAAAATCGGAGGCCCACCATTTTAAGGTGGTCTTTCCTTTGGTTTCTCAACAAAGCCACCCCAAGAGTAGCCTCCCCAAGGGGGGCTTCTCAGGGTCTGCCTGACTCGTGACGAACAGGACGAGTCTAACGTCGAGGGTGTTTTTTTGTTGTCCAGTCGTCTTGGCAATAGATCGTGGCGCCTAGCACCTGGCTTCTTTATAGCCTATTCCAGGTTCAGAGCCGAACGTTTTCACCAGGACAGCACCTTGCCTGGCGTCATGGAAAGGAACCTGGGCACAGTTGGTTTCCTGAAACAAAAAAGCAACCTGAAAAAGGTGCCGAGCGAAGCACCCAAAAGGACCCCCGTCGTGGCAGAAAGGTGTTCTGTTGTTGTTTGTCCACCCAAAGATACGTTTGGATTCGCTCAAAAAAAACTCATTTCAGAATCCACCGTCGAATTTAATTTTCGCTTGAGCGCCCCACTTGAAATTGTATCAGCCAGCCACATAACCACAACGGGTGCCAGCTCCTTTTAAAACTTTTACCAGAGTCACTGGGCAACTGGGCAGGTGTAGAGCAATATGAGGTCACCGGGCTCATGAGGTAATTGTCTTTAATTGTACCCGTATTGCAGGCCCGAAATGACTGATGTATGGACAAATCATGGGGAATGAACCCGTTCCTGTGAATGCCAAGGGATTCCCCTTGCAAGTGGTGCTAGTGATGGGGATTGCCCACCTTGGTATCACAAGAATTTGCCTGAATTGGGTGTTGCTTCTTCGCGGGAACCCTTGTTGGTTGGTTTTTATTTGGAAGCCAAAGGGAAAGCGATGCATGGGATGTCCTGAGGCAAACACGACTCTGGGAGTAGAGTCCTGGCCCGGTCCTTCAGGGGACCCGTGTCCCCTGGTGGCTTGAAACATCACCTGGGTCTTTTGAGTTAGCTTCCCTTTCTCTTGCTGGCGCAGCAGGGAAGGAGAAATGGAATGACCACGAGAAAACCATCCAACTGGTGGGAACCCACAGGTTCATTCCCTCATTCCCTAGTGAGCACCAGCAAGTTATTCAAAAGAGGAAATCTCAGAACGTGGGGCCCATTAAAATGTGGGTCTTCCCAGAAGGTTTGGAGCGAAATGATAGGCTTTTTGGGTGGGGAACTCCATCGGATTTTGAGGCTATTTGCTGCGGAACCTGCTGGAGCCGTCGAAATCCCCACAATCGAATGAGGCAGAGTTCCAAGCGCCCCTCGGTGAGTTTTCGACGGAGGGGTGTCTGGCCAACGGGGACTTGTTTGTATTATATACATGTATATGATATATGGTATATGATACATGATAGGCCCCTTTGCACAAGCACACGAGTTTTGCAGGTTTGTATATGGCTACGAGTTTCCATAGGAACCCCCCTGAAAAGTGGTTGGTTGACACGTTTCGTAACCTAAATAATCTCCACCAAAGGATTAAAATGAATACCCTGTAAGATATATAATTGTTTCCCCCTTGTAAATACACGGTTTCCTCTGGAAGCATTGGACTTGCCTTTTCAGGGGAACCAGAAGGAAACCACAATCTTGGGGGGTCCCCTACATACGACACACTCATCTCTATGCTTTTCGGTTGTTCACATTTTAAGGTTCAAGGGTTCAGCAAAGGACCAGAATCAAGCATGGCTTCGGGTGGCAAAATGGATCTTGCCCAATATGGATGCGCTGGGATCCGGGGGTTCCAATTGCGTGGGGCACCCCTGGGCAGCGGATTTCCATCGGACTGGTTCTGGAGTTCTGGGGTTCTCCTGGTGAAGAGGTTTCAGGAGTTCCACTTGCAGAACTCTTGTGATCGAATGGAGCCCTTTTCAACCCACCCCTCGGTGGGGTCCCCACTGAAACTAGTCCTTGGGCTGTGATATTTATGTCGGATGTGCAAGGGACTTGCTTTGTGTGGTCGCTTGGGACAAGGGAACACTGAAATCCATAGTTTGGGCCCCTTTAAGACACAGGCATACCGCACACCTGCATTGAACCTTTGTGGCTGCATCACCTAGTTGAGGCAACGGCAGATCGCGTGGCATCTGGTGGAGGAGCCATTTTTTTGCGCGCACGATCCGTGTTGCATGGCGCAGCGATATGGGGTCTCCTTTTTCCCAACAGCAGAAAGATATGGGGTCTCTGCCCAAATAACTAGGCTCTGGGGTGGTCCGGGGCAGCTTTTCCGGAGAGGTCCGGCCAGGTTTCCTGGTTCCGGGGTTGCTGTTTGGGGTGCCACGTAGGCGTCTCGTGTTGTTTGTGTTTATTGTCGATTGTCGGGTGCGAAGTGGCACAGGATATATTAATTTTGCCCTACAGGAAACCAGCTGTCGGCGTTGTTACCAGATCCCACCTGCTTTGGTACCCAGTTTGGCTTTAAAGAGAAAAGCCAATAGGAACCCAACCAGCTTGGGGCTAATTTCCTCGGGCAATAGAAACATGAGACATGAATCTGGGCAAGCATATGCATTCAAAGGTAAGCCCAAAATGGGTACAGAGCTTAGTCACAAAACAAACCTGTATGTGGGCCGCTCTCCGCTCTCCATGCGCCTGGAAACTGCTTGGGGTTGTCCCCTACATTTCGATGTCCTTTTGAAACAGGCAATATCATAAAGAATTGTTCTGGAATGTCGGGTAGCAATCAGTAAGGGAGACAATTCAAAAACGTGCTACACAAATATTCCCCACCAAGAAAAGATAAAGGGGGAGCAAATACAGAACTGTGACAGTTTTTGTTTTTACTCCGTCCGGGCGTGGCGTGAGACCAAAGCATGTTTCCCAGCCCAGGCAATTCACTAAACCAACACAAAGCAAATCCTAAGCCAATTCTAAACAGTCCTGGGCCAGGTCAAGAGAATACGACGACATGTCTAAACCAATACGAAGCAGTACTTACAGAGTGACTCCTTGAATAGGCCCAATTCTGACCCCTATTTGCTTTTAGTTATCCGCATCGACCCCTCCCGCAATTTGCTTACGGGGCCCGTTAATCACTTTAACCCCAGCCCTTAGGAGAACATGCCGGCGCAGCTTGAGAGCAGTATCCGACACTTCGCCACCTACACGGAGGGCTACAGGCCCGGCCCGCCTGTTTCGCACGGCGTGAGCGCGCGGTTCGAGAGG